CTTTATAATATCCTTAAAATAAAGCAGATGGATCAGCCCCCGAAAACCGATAGGGGGTGTCAAGTAGAAAATAAGGTTGACGGAAACTCGGGGACTGCGGGTACCTGATGAGCCTCAAGAAGGACGAAACAGGTGGTGGGCTGTCGGGTTGTTTACAGCAGCCTTGTGAGTAGTGTGTTACGTCTAGAAAACTAGAGCACCTCTAGTGTGTATGGTACCTCCTAATGGAAGATAGCTCTTCGCAGTGATCTTCAGTGGAAACCATAAGGGACTAGTGCGCAACCGGTCAAGAATAAACAACACAGTTGTTTTACGTCGTGCCATGTATCATGACTTCTTTTTATAACTTCTTCTTATATAATAAACGGCACCCTTTGTACACCAGTGCGCGGGTGGGTTGGATTGGATTATTACTCACGGTACCTTATGCCATGGTGATGGTTAAGGGATTTCCAGTGACCAGGAGGAATCCCGGATGTCTGAAATATCGCCACTATGTGCTCCGGGTTTACTGATATTTGAGGAGTCCATCTGAGATAAATGGTAGTAATCAATGGCTCGTTTACCAACCCGAAAGCTTTCCCAATGGGGGAGTGATGTAAATGAGATTCGTCTGAATTTCACGTTAACACCTTGGTTTACGACTGGTTGTGGCACTCTTCAGAATTCCTGTCAGTTGTGCAGAACGTGGAAATCCATTTCATTGATCACATTCCTCGATGTTCATACCCAAAATCTGGCGGTTGGGCTCCTAACACTGTTAGTTTCATTTTGTGGAACGTCAGTCCAGTTGAATTCACCACAAATTCCTGATGGTGTTCACGAAGTGCGCCAGTAAGTAACTGAACTAAGGGCGAATAGTTGCACACCAAACGAATGAAGGAATTCGTGTGGGTATTCTTTGGTTTCGCTCAGTTCTCTGTACATTGTGCACTGCCTCCGAGTCGTTCTGTCACAAGTTTTTACAAATTGGGCTTGGTTTATCGTAAAATGCTAATCGCTCGTTTAGTTCGAGGTCACTTAGCTTCGGTGGTTTTCTTGCTTTTTCTAGAAATTTGCCGAATCGAATTAGAGTTGCCACCCAGTTGTGCTGCCAAATTTGACATCAGCAACTGCAGTGCAGTGGTTTTTCCGATCCTTTTCGTTTTGTGTATTTTCGGATCAGGTATCTCGTATATCCGTATGAATTTGACGCCTCCTAATAGATTGATAATAATGAGGTATTAGTGTAACCGACGCACATATGTAATGCAGTATTTCCGTTGTCTGACGACCCTCCTTATTCAACAGTACTTTGTGGCCGTGTTGATCTATATAGGCTTTCAAGACACTGCCAACTGTCCTATATGTTTATAGTTATTTGACTTTCTTCAGATCAGAATAGAGAAGACGTAATTTGTTTAACCTCACGGAAAGCTCTCCAGTCCTGCCGTACGCACATTCGCACACTGTTGCCAACTGAGCTACTGACCCCTCTTAGAATGACGTACACTATACAATGACTGTGAAAGAAACAAGCTCAGATTTGGCAATTCACGCATGGAGTGTTAGCTCATGAAGGGTTTTACTCCTCATTAGACTTTTCATACATAAAAAAACTGTTCGCATTTATAGTCTTCACATCACCTAACGTCTTTCATAGCATTATCATTACTTTTGAGCTTTTGCTCATCCAAGAAGCCATATTAACCTTCCACAGAGCACTCGACAGTTGGAAGACCAAGCAACAGCACCCCAAACGATGTGTGGGTTGTGGGACTATATCTTGCGTGTACTGTCGATCAGCCACCGGTAATTGGATCGATCTTTCAGACGCTTATACGAAGAGCTACAGGTTCGAACCTCCGTGGCAATCTGTGGAATAAGCACTGCTCATGATTCCAAACAAAAATGAAACATATGCACATATGTTGCACCATATATTGCCTTATGGGACAGAATCCAGGATAATAGTGTTTTGTTTGTCCCTCAGGTGATTGATTGACGCAAAACCACGTTTTCTCGCGCCATTTCTGTTTCTTTCCTGACATCTATCTTACTTCGCTCTGTCTGTCAGAGTGGTATTCCAACTACAACTGTTCAACCGAACAACTTGTTTGAATAACGCAATCTGGTTAAAGATCATGAATGTTTTTTTGGTTGAATATGAGTTTTTTTGGTTGAATAGTGACTGCTGGTTAATCATGCAAATTTTGGCCCACCTGCTTAGGTGATGAATCGATGCAACTATCGATAGCTCAACAGTGATCAATACATATGTCTACCTACCTACCTACCTAGCCATTTACCACAACGTTGTGAAAATTGATCGACTTTTGTGGAGACTCATTTTTAGGAGGATCCATGGTATTCTTTCATGTACGTTTGGAATATATGACTGTAGTTCTGTAGAGTTAGCTGCCGGAATGCTTAGTTGGACCCGCTTTCGTTGTTCTTGAAACATTTGTGCCAACCTGCCCAAGCTCAGACATTGACAGGCAGCGGCCTTCAATGGCTGGGCTTGACAGGTTGCATTGGAAGGCCATACCCTGAAACTGCTTCTCCTAGCCTCTTATGCGACATCCCAACAGTAGCCCTTTTTGGCTCTGCTTTTGGAATTCTTTTCCCACCGAAGCAGAACAACAGCAGCAAACACAACGACTTGTTACTCATCAATGTAGTAAAACCGTGAATCATTAGCTTCCACCCGTACGAAATCCAAGCCAGCCAGATGGTAACATCTTCGTGTCATAGTTGGTGAAACCGTATGTGATGAATGAGTTATGTGTCTGTTGCTTTGACATGTCTGTTCCCGCAAAACTCCAATAGATTTCCTTTAAGCTTTAGCCATGAGCGGATACGAAAGCTGGTGTTGCCATCCTGTTGCTTGGTCCTTCGTGGGCAGTTTTTATTATCCGCTAGATCTCGGCCCATGCCTCAAAAGGTTTGACATTTTCCTTGCTTCGACTCGTGCTTCTATGATGTTTTTTCTCTCATCTGTTGTGCATGTCTTTAGTTGGCAGTAAGAAACACTCCTTGGTGTTAGCATCAGAGTTTCAAACAGCGTACGTCTTGTTTTGATGGTGTCCGAAAAGAGCTCCTCGTTTGGCCCGTTGTTTTACTTCTAGGCATTTGTCCGAATTTCTCCCATTTTACACCATGATATATCACTTTTTTGTTAAAATCGGAATCAAGACCTGGCCGTCAAGACTCGAAGATGCGTTAATTTATCGTTAGATGTATGGGACAATTTTATGGGTTGTGCGTCCAAGTTAGTCGTGTCGAACGACTGAGTTCTCAAAATACTGCGTATTGACTCCAGGGAAATCCACTCAAAGCAAGACATCCGCAAGAAGATAAACGGTATCAATCTTCTCAGAAACGGAGTATTTGTGGTGTTTCCACGTCCTTAACACCTGGTTGTCTGCAGAATTATACGATGCGAATAGGACTGTGTAGGTAGGTCCCTTTAATCTCCACCCAGTTTCCGCGCCGAATTCTCTCGTTCAGTTTTTGTAGCTGCATTGAATTGAAAAAATGCCTCCAGTTTTGTACAGTCGTATTCAGTCGTGTTGTAGGCGTATTTATCTTTTATGACATTTTTTCCTCCAATGGACCTAGTAATCCACTTGTGCAACTGTCAGAGGCGGTATCCGGTTTTACAGAGACAAAGCGCTGAGACTGTAAAATTTTCTATACTCTGATCTATGGTCGTGCCAAAACATACCGGCGCGTGGAACCCGTTTGACAAGAGGAAGCCGATTGGGATAACGAATGGTGACCGTCAAAGTAACATAACAGTGAAAATATCAGTTGCGAAAGCCAGCAAGCTGCCGAGAGCGAGGTAAATCGTTGGTTTCATTTGCCTAGATAAGGCGATTAGATGGGCAAACCAGCGGTCCATTTACTACCCCGATTAGAAGAAGTACTTTAAAGCGGAGCTTTGTTCACCGGTTGTGCAGGAAAAAGTGAAAGGTCTCATTCTGCCTGTTTCTTATTCCGATCATTGTGAATGTATCAAGCTGCTGTGGTTGAAGAAGTCAACTGGTCATGCTCTCATCAGGACTAATTACTGAGGAGACGAATGCATCATAAACTAGATATTTTTGGATGCAGACTATCTCCAGTATGACCTCGTAAAACCTCAAATGGCGATTAGTCAAGGTTCTTAGGGAAATCACTCTACAATTGAACAGCGTTTGTTTTAATGACTTGGAGATAAATCTCGAGCTTTCCATTACTCACTACGTGACTTTCCATTTATTAGTCTTATTTTTTTGGACTTCAGCCAAACCCTTTTTTCGCATTTTAACGTACGATCCTCTCTGAATGGTGGATGCTTTCTTGTAGTGATTGCTCCTGGAAACGGTCTTCTGTACTCCTAGTCCGGAATAATATTTTTGAAAGCAAGCCTGTCATTCCCTGCAGATGACATCTTCGGATTTAGTCAACGAATTTGTTTGGCTTTCAGACTTTGGTAATTCTTTTATTTTTCATCTCCGCTGGTGACTTTTCTCGTCATGTACGGGTACTACACCGAGGTCGAACTAGGATAAGGCAAGAGATCTCTGTAGTTACTTCCACTGATTTGAACTAGGACGTCTTTGTCTAGACCTCCGTGTTTCACCCCAATTCGCGATTGTCTTGTGTTTTTCTCTTGTTTCATAGACTTCTGGATCTCTCCATTTGTCTATCTGCATTCACATCTCAAGTTTGTACCATGTTTTTTTCTGACTAAAACTTCCCACTCTGTTACTTTAACTTTCATGCTTCGTTGCGCCTGGTTGCCTATCATCTCGCATCTATACGTCTCTCGCAGCATTACGCTATACATCTCCATGTGCGTTTTACGTCTGAATTTCGAGAAATTATGTGGTAGAATGGGTCACGCCCACGCTTTTCTCTCGTTTCAAGTTGACAGATCACCTTTTGCGGAACACAATTGTGCCCGTTTTTCGACACTCCAGACGATTGACAATTTATTATCCAAAATTTTATGATTCTTTTCCGTCCTTTTTTAGGTCGAGCAAATTCAAGCCCTGACTGAGCTGGTCACTGCTCAAGTGGACTATCACCGCCAAGCCACAGAAATCATGGAGCAGCTTCAAAAGTTCTTGATTGACAAGTAGGTTCCGAGTCGTTATTTTCCGTTTCGGTGTAGAATCTGAGAGCGGCGCTCCCTGAGGAGCAGTGTTCTTGATACCGCCTGGAAATTCGTTCTGCGTTGTTCCTCGTGAATTCATTTCTTACAGGTGGAACTGCCTGAAACTGTCATCATTAGCTCTGTTCCATATTTTTTAAATGTTTTCCTCCATCTGACTAACAGGTAACTTAGGTGCACTTTGGCTTTGTACAACTAAGTACAGTGCTCGTCTATCACCTACTCGTGGATCTGTCCAGTACTCACAATGGTTTATTCAAGGATCCCTTCACTCATTGTTTTCGACCATCGCTTCTTCTTTAAAACAAAGAACCCTGAGCGCTGTTCAGGTCCCCTATTTGGGGACACGCTTTTCCACATAATTGGGTGATAGGAATATGGTTCAGATAAAATACAGTCATTTGCGCATGAGCATCTTTTTCGGTATCTCAGGCTTTAATATGTACGTAGGCAAATGCGTGACCTGGTCAAGAAAAGTTCATCACTCTTACTGTAAACACCAAGGAAAGTCCCTAGTCCGCGGTCTGATAATGATTAATTCTTCAGCTTGGATCGGTCGTAAAATATTCTTGGTGCTTACCACCAGTCAGCTGACTACCCGAACAAGTCACAAGCTTGTTAGGTCATGAGTCATACCTAAAAAGATTTTTCCGGGTCTTTTTAGTAAGCCTTTGGGAATTTTTTCGTCTGGCTTGTCGTGCAGGTAACTTGTTGTCTGTTCTAAGTTTTCTCCGAAGTCGGGTGTCATACTTTTCGCACACGCGATGCCTTCAGCATCCTTACACAGTGGGTGGCGCTGCTTAGTGGCTGAATGTCGTATGAAACGACGATTTGAGATTGAGAATCATAAGTACGGTGGACTAATACACCAATTCTTTAAAATAATCACTTATGTGTAGGTGCACTTGATCTAATGAGTTTTTGTACAATCTGCCTCATGATTCACAGCTGAGTGTGCCCACGGCCTAGTGAAATTCACTGTCTCCATAGCCAACTCACTGAACGGCACTGGAGGTCAATGGATTTGCCATGGATTTGCCATTTGAAAACTGGTTTACCATTTGGCATCTTTGTGTGCTGCTGGTTGTTGTGTGGTTTACGTTGTACGATCTTGAAACACGGAAGGCTTCGTCACACAACAGGTTGATCTCACACGCTTGTCCAACACGCGGGCTGATTCCGTTATGTAGTGTCGGTAACAGTGTGCATAGTCAATGAGGTTTTTTGCAGTCTGTTTGTTCGGCCCCTAGATATTGCGATGTTGTGCTACTCCGTGGATTGACCTAGAAGTCTGTTGTTCACTTTATCAGGTGTGTCCTGTTTATATCTCTTACGCTTGCATATTGAGGTTTTGTACTTATAGTATGCCGTCTGCGATGGTTTTCTTCAACTCTTCTGCATCCGTGGCGTGTGGTTTTTATTTCCTACGAATTTCGACCATATCGATTCAGGAGGGAGACCACCATGCACAACATTTGTATTCTTACTAATTTTGCTATGCTTTCCACTTATGTCGCCTAATGTTTCGATCTTGAATCTTGTCCGTGCTAGTGACATGGTTGCACCTGCGGGCCACTTCATCAATGCTGAAACCGAAACAGGGAACTAGCATATATGTACTTCATGTCGCACAAGTCAGACAACTGAAGGTATGTTTTCTCCTTGTGCCGAATTAGTTCATCTGCAGCACCCTCCGGTGCCTAACTTCCATGCCACTCGAAGGTTGCACGAGGGCTGGCATACTGCCAGGTTGCCCATGCCTAGACAGGGGAAGTCAGAATCACAGACCTTCTGGTCAGTAAATTCGCACTCTAACCACTTGGGCCGTCTCGCCCCTACGCATCCAGTGAACTATCAACTTCTTTCCAACTCTGACCTTCGGGCATGTTTTCATACCTGAAACTTTCTTCCTTCCGTTCTGCACGCTATTATCTACAGGTATCCATCACGCTGCCACATTTAGGTTGAGAGCGATTGATCGTTTACACGCCTTCGTCTCTTTTCGTTGAACAGGAAAGACGAGGCTTCTTCGAAACCTAGACCAGTTTATGAACCCAAACGGTTTTCGACACTTCCAAATCAGGTGAATTCTCGAACTCCTTCTCAAAGTGCACTAAGCACGCCAGCGAAAAACGGTCCACACCTAAACGCTGGTGCACCTAGTCCAGGTACGTTGTGTTATATCCGTCAGTACGGAATGCGTTTCGACTTGTCTTAAACGTATCCACCCCGTTATCATACTTTGCTTTTAACTGACTTGCGTTCTCCGTTGTCTTTGATTCAACCTTTGTTTTTTTTCAAATTGTGAATTTCATATACACCTCGTTGGGTAGCTTTCGGAATGCGGCGCACCAGTGCAGCTAACTTCAGCGTCGCCGGTCAGTTTTCATTGACCACTACATACTTTCACTCGTTGTTGTGTGCAGTCCGAATGCAAACTACTTTGCGCTGTAGCTTTATATAAGAAATACGTCTTATCTACTTGGTGAATTAGATTAGTGAAGCGCTCTTCTGTCATACTGTACTTGGAAAATATGATTTTGATAAAAGTCGACAGGAAATTGAATTCGATTCTAATTCGTCTTCTATGAACCGTATAACATACATACATTTGTTCCAGCTGCTACAGTTTCTATCACCGGGAAATGCGAGAACTTGGGAGACATAGCGAAGCATTGGAGGCTGTGACATGTTCATTTGGTTCGGGAACTGGGTAACTAGATAGTGAAGGCGTGAGCTTTGATGAGTTGAGTCCCGGAGTCCCCATCCAGGGTGGCAGCAGTTGTCGGCCCGCCTCAGTTTACTGGTTGCCAAGTCATACACTGTCCACCTCTCAGTCACTTCTACTCAGCACAGGGCGAAAAGAGCTCTACGAGGCAGATGGTGTTCTGGCATGCGTAGTACATGTCCCAAACAGCGTAACCAATGAGGCGTGAGGGATTCATTTATCGCGAGAGAGTTCCCCCTTTCTAAAACCGTATAGTCTACCTCAGCATTGCTCGTCTGATGTTCAGACCAGACTCGATCAATGCTTCAAAGACACGGATGATCAAACACTGACAGGTTTCGCATGTCCTCTGCACACAGAGGCCACGTTTTTTTATCCATAAAGCAGCGTGGATCGCACTGCCGCACTGTAAACTTTACCCTTGACGGACAAACGGACATCACGTCGGTGCCGTAGGTGTCGGAGGTTGGCAAAAGCTTTCCCGTACTTCTACGTTCAGGAAGTAATCTCATCTGCAACCAATCCGTCGGAGCTTATACAACTGCCCAGGTAAACAAACTTATCTACCACTTAAATTGGCTCGTCTGCGGCTTTGGGTTTGATCTTTTAGAAGTACCTTGCACTTTACTAGCCTGAAGCGCGTGTCAAACCGTGCAACAGTATTATTTAGGTGATTTTAAATGAGTTGCGTTTCGAAAGGATCTGAACCAAAGGGAACAGTATCGTCCGTGTGTACTCACTGTATATGGGCGAACGTCCCGAGAGCATTCAGATTCCTGAAGCCTCAGAGGCGGGCGGAGAAAAGGCGAGAGTGGACAGCGTTGTCTTACACCACCGGACGTGGTGAACTCAGGTGAGGGTATGCCGTGTGCTCGTACACCCACAAGAGTTAAGGCGCAGCGTCCTCATATGGGATATAAATCGTCGGACACCACCAAAGTTTCTGACGACCGACAGAATCAAGAAACAAAACCAGCGTGTGGTGTTTGAAGGAGTGGAGCGTCTAAGAGAGGAAAATATATAGTCGATGCATCTTCGTCAGGATGAAACCCAGCGTGATTCTCACGAATCTGCCCCTCCCGATAGCCGATCATCCTGCACAAAATAACGCCAGACAGCGCTTTTGATCTGGCGGATACGAGGCTGATGCCACGATGGCTTACGTATGACGTTCTTTGACCTTTTTTGAAGACTGGGTTGGCAGTCGAGTGGCTTCTTCCCAATGCTATTCTGTTAGTTTTAAAGCTTCTGTCGCATGGTCGTCGGACTGTTCACCTCACCATCTCTGAAGAGTGCGGGGTGCAGACCATCTGGACCAGGTGCCTTGTCACGTTGAACGAGTGATAACAGCAAATGTGAGGTGCTAACCGTCGCTTTTCGTTTCAGAAATTGTCAAACTGAATGGATGAGTCAGTGGATGCACTCGATACTTCCAAACGGTCCTAGGTGCTACACTGGAAGATAGGATCCAACGTAAATTCGTGTCTTGTTCTTCATCATTCTGATTCTTAGGTCAACCGTATGGGTGTTGCAACTTGAAGCACTGTGTGAACGGTGTTCATTTGGCTGTTACCTTCTACATATTTACATAGTGTCCCAGTGGGAACTACTGTGATCGGGAACTCAGCATTTTTGCGTATTCACAGGCCTCCAGAGTAAATGAGAACTAACGTGGGATATGATTACTTTGTCAGAAACCATATAGTTTACCAATTCATCCGGGCACTGCGAACGCAATCAGATAGTTACGATGGAATTGGGGGAGCAATTTGTCTGTGATGTTTTCGAGGAGGATATGCAATGCTGACAGTGCCCTTCATAGTGTTTTGCTGTGAATCCACTAGAACTAAGTTCACCTTACAGTCTACTGTAGAAACGTACTGTTTTTAAATATCCCACCCATCGTGTGTGATGTACCCCTTAAGGCAAGCTTTTTAACAGGGTTATCTCCTATCTTTGGGGGCAAATCATCTCAAATTTAGAGATGAGCATCTTTCAGCCTATTACAGTGCCCAACAAGGCTCAGATTTGAAATCTGCAAACCTACTGGTGATTAATTGTGTGGCTATTGATCTGTTTTCCAAACTTCGTAATGGCCTGAGAACGTTTCGTCGCCGATCACTTCTTTGCAACTAAAAATCACAGCGCGCTTTCCCTAGTCACATGCGCCATAGCCTACCAGGGAAGAATTTTAGAGATCCTGCATTCGATTAACGTTCAAGTTTTTTAATGTACTATTTCCATCGTACCAAAGGCAGTTCATTCCCAGTGCACAATGGCGTTTTTATTTTGTCATCTGCCATCGGTCACTTAAACTCCAGTGTACATCAATTCTCGCTCGGTTCAACAGCGGCGTGTCGTTTCACAATCGATATCCCAAGTTCCTCCGTTGCCGGCTTGTGTTACTACTGCACTGAGTACTATTCTTTCCCCATGTACACTCCCTATCCCGATTCCTCTCCCCCTCACTCATGCTTGCCGTCTTAGTCGACTTCTCTTCGGTGGCAGACCCATCGATTTCTGTCGCCCACGCAGACCATTCCCCACCCTATCTGGACGGGTCTGCTAGCCTATCGGTTAATGTTGGAGAGAACGATGATAAATGTATGGACCTCATTTCACTACTGTTCGGTGTTTTTGCACTTCGATTTACTAACAATTTTCAAATTAGTCTGTCAGTCGTGGTACTTGGGCAATAATTCTCTCTTCCTTTATTTTCGCAGAAGGGAAACATAATTTGTTTTGTTTCTCACCACGGCTTGCCAAATTTCCTAACACAGCTTGGTGCGCTCTGCTATGTTCTTGTATGTCTGCGCCAACCATGCTACCTGTCAAATAGGTTCGGAAGCTGCTGGCTTAATTGCGTGACAACGTCATTCACTTTGCCTTTAGTTGCACCTGAAAATCTCGAAGCGGCGAAAAATAGTCTGGTTCGGCCCCGCAATGTGTCCATACCTAAATGATAAGTTGTGACGTTCGAATTTGGATCAGGTTTCGCCTGAGTTGCTTTATCCCCGCAAGATGGCTCAAGTGGTTAGAGTACTAATTTCCTGACCGGAAGGTTCGTGGTTCGAACCCGACCTCAGCCACTGCTTAGGCTTGGGCGACCTGGTAGTATCCCAGCCCTCGTGCTTCTTTCGGGTAGGATGGCAGCTGGGCACCGGAAGGGTGTTATAGCTGAACGATTTATTTTTATCCTCGCAAGGCAGACCGCCACGCGGAAGGGAAGCCTATGTACCTTTTTTAGGGGACGCATACCCCATAGAGAGACCTCTGTAAGGCTGCCACATCTAGAAATTCTGTAAGACGTTCATCATTCATGATTCATTACGGAACCCTCCGAAAAATGGTCACCGCAGGACAGGCTCGCTTCCTTTTCCGGATGAAGAGCTTGTCATAAGGGAGAGCACAGAATAGATCGTTGCTGACGGGGACCGTTGGTGTTAACACTGAGGCAGGTGTCTTCGGGATTACTGTAATAGATTTATCTGCAACAAATTTACGCTTGCTGTTTCTGATATTCCTAACTTCTGTCCGCCTCAAGCAACTATGTGGTTTAATTGATATCTATTGCGGACATTATCGATTGTCCTAGAGATATTCCTAAGCAAAATTTGGCTGCGTGGTTCATCATTGTATATGACAGCTGGCAGATTCCTGTTTCTCGAGTTTTTTGCCCTGCTTTTTAAGTTCAGCTTCACGTTTTGCAACGTTACCTAAAGTGCCATTTTCGAACCAATCCGGAAGAACTATGCACTACATTTTATGTTCCTGTGTTACCCAGAAACGTCTACATACGTCTAAATGCGTTATTCAAATATACTGATGGCATCATTGCACAAAGCCGAAACATCGGAGACATTTCTATGAACTCTTAACAAATTTCTCGTGCTTAATCAATTTTTCTGTATGTTGTTTGTCATTACTCCGAACAGGCTGGAATTCTCGCACATCTAACTCGCCTGTCAACAATTGGTTTATTCAGGAATCATAGTGATTTCTGGAATCTATGCTTCCGGTCGATCGATCTGTTGCACTGGATGCAGTGTAGTTTCCGAGTTTTCGTGATACTGTCTGCTATGAACTGCTGCATTGAATGTCCTTCAATCAGGATGCGACTGTTTTCCCTTAATCTCGAGTTAGTCTGAGGGCGTTACCTCCGGATAGGATGATTCACACATACATTAGACAGGTCTAACCCAAACTCTGAGGATTTGTTGCATGAATAAAAACAAAATTACCGTGTTTAGCCTAAATCACTCTTCAACACTGGGGTAACATTCGTTGGCTGACTGACTTTGATCTATGTCACAGTGGTGAACATTGTATCTTGACGCGCGGTTCATGATAAATCGTTTACTGACTGATTGATCCCGCAACTTGCTATCTGCTTGCAGTAATGTCTAGGTTAGAAAAGGCATCGAATTCATTCGAGTTGTGTTACTGACAGTACCGCAGCTTTTCCATTCGTCCTTTATCTGCATGCCCCCTGTTATTGCTTTGTGAAATTTTACTGATGGTTGGATCACTGTCGCGCTGTTCACTAAAGTCCTATGTTTATTGTTCTTTAGCTGTGAAGTGAGCCTGAAGTACATAGTTGGACTACTAATTAGTCACTTCTGTCCTGAATGGAGGACGGTCTTCCACGGTACAAAGCCCCACGTTTCTATGCCGTTTTTGGCACATACGCACGAATACAAAACTGCAATGTTTGGCTAAACAATTTTAAACTTGGGTATATATTTTAGATTGTGCATAATCTTGAAGATACCATTCATCTCACATCAATTCCTGTTGATTTACTTTGAATATTTCTCAAGCTTGAGTTTTGGAACCACCTTTGTTGATAACTGTCCAGTAACCAGGCAACCATCGATCTAGTGGCCAACCACAACTCGGAATTATTTGTTTTTGCGTTCGGAAACCGTCCTTAAAGCAATTACGAACGATCATTCTACCGCGTAATTTATCACGTTGGTTTACAGTTTATCGATAGTGACTAAAGCCACTCGAGACATCAGTTTTAAGAGTTTTAGCATATCAAGAATACGACCGCCGGTATTGTGGAGCGACAGACGAGATTCGCAGTTTTGAATCAGTGTTAGGGGAAGGCGATTCACGCCGATTCCATTGGTTCCGCAAGAGCAGGCGTGAGATGGGTATTCCAGGGCAAAGTAATGCCGGTCAGGGTACTGCAACTTTTTCACGAGCTGAAAATGATTACCGACCTATCCGTTCACCCTACAATAATGGTTGTACGCTGCTTGTCAAAAAGTTTTGTATTTGATGAATTCCTGTGACCGCTGTCGTACAGTCAAAACTGACGACTGCTCTAAGTTCTGTGAAAACGAAGTCATTGGTGTTCATCTTGACCGAGGTCTATCCCCGTACTCAAAGCACTACACTGCCTGACAACTCAGTTTCCTAGTCGTGGACCTATAACTGACCGCGAGTTCCTTAGATTCTGATGCATCCTGTTAAACTAGTCAGTCTTTTTTGATAGTCCAATCTGCTGGTACTACCAAATCCGAAACCGGATACGAGTCTGTAATGCGTATGTAATATGCACTCCTAATCATCTTGTCTCGGTTTTGGAGGTTCGATAAGATTAAACAGATCTTGACGTATAGATTCAGCGTCCAACTCCAGGTGCAAACATTTCATTTACCTTCCGTGTGGATCACGTAAATAATGTTATGGCTAGTTAACGATGAGGTGACCCTGCGATTTATCTAAAAACCCGGTTTTATAGCTTCTTGTTTCTCAAATGCGTACGGCCATTTGATCCCTCTGTCCTTAGTTTGTCCTGTTAACCACACTTATACTGACCACACTCATGCAGTCGATGAAGATTGTACGTTTCCTTTCTGTAAGTTTATCATCATGGGATCTTGTAGCTTTGTAAGGCCAACTGACTGCGTGTGATTATGCTTACTACCGTCCGGCAAGGGTGAGTTGTCCTGTGACTAGAACGCATAATCTGTTTGGTGTTCATTGTTGCTTACGGACACTGCAAGCCTCATTCCTTCCAAATGCACCTTGGACGCTTGGCTGATACGTTTTTTTACTCTACTTTCGAAACTAGGTTAATTGATCAAATAGGCTGGGTAGCGTTGACGACTACTACTTAGGATACAACGGCTCTCCATCTCCTCTTAAAAGATCAATTGCTGGGCTTTGTGCGTTTGAAACAGCACTAAAATTCCACTAATATGAGTAGTCTGAGTGAGTAGTAAGTGGTAGGCTAACTGTAGTAACTGGTCAGCGACGTGCTCATTTGTCTGCTAATCGCCGACACCACGGCATTAGACTTTCAACCGGATGTATAAAATCCAAGCCGATCGCGTTTGTTTGCACTGAACAGGTGATTCTTGGTTGGTTTTAGGTCTTCTCACGCAGAAACAGTGAGATTTTTCCATGGTCATGGCTTAGGTCACATCGTATACGTGTGTGTGTGGGGCGGATACAGACTATACTCTATTTTATTTTGTTTTTAAATAATGTTACAAAGTAATTAGAAAAATACTCGCAATTTTCGGTGAAATTAAGTGTCAGATATCCTCTCGCCAAGCTCCCCTCTCTTGTTTTTTGACTTACTGCGTAGATATACCCGTTTTCAGTCAATCAGTGTGCTTTCTATGGCTCGGTGGAGACAAATTTGGCAGCAGTGTAACGTGAAATAGAAAATAATGAGAATACTTCGTCCGCCTCTTGTGACTTTTTTTTAGATCACCTCGATATCTTGGCATAGGACTTTGGCCAGTTATTTGGGTAGCGCAGTGAAGTTCGATTCGGTACTTTTTCATTTTCGCTAAATTTGGATGGCCATTGATGATCTGAAGTGGCTTTTGTCCCCGTTGGTTCCGTGCATAAGGCCATGTGGTTTTTTGCCTGCTTTTCACAAAACAATAGCTTCTACGTAAGAAATGCTTCAGCATGAAGAATGGCACGTTTTTACTTTGGCCTTTGATATGTTAACTTCACTTCTTACGTCTAACGCCTACGTGAGCAACCTCAGTCATATAATCTTAAACTTAAGTGTGGAGAGTTGTGCAGCAGTCGCATCACTGAAGTACGTGTTCAATGTTAAAATGTTATGGCGAGCGTAGTCGTGCACAGATTTGTAAATTTATACTGGCATGACTGAGTTGCTTACTTGCAGTGCATCGCTCGAAGAACTGCATATCCAGAGTAGCCACCACCTGGAAGGAATCTTCATATCGTGCAGAGGAATGATAATTGCTGTGGACATGTTAACTTGATAATGGACGAATTCAAATCAGATTTCGGACGTCGTTCTTTGGGGTGATATCTGCCTGTCGAAAGTTTCCCGTATGAGTTTAACGTATACTCTTCTAACGGATATTATAACGTATCTGTGCAGGAGTATTCTCTGCGTACGGTGGTCGGAAAACTTCAGGAAGTATACTTTTTTTTACGTAGATATGACATCCAACATTTTGGAAGAGTTTGGGGGACAATCTGCAGGTTGTTGTTGGCTTCTTGATTTGTTCCAAGCGTTTTCTAACTGGTTGATCATAGCTCAATTCTATAGGACCGGTTTGACATTGATGCTCCAACCCGTTTTGCCCTTCTGCTCAGTTTTGGTCGAAATATTATTATCTTATGCGTCTCAGCCCAGTGGGATGTTACTACTGCTAATTGTATTTACCCTTTCCTGACTCGTACCGACGGAGATGACCTGGTTTGACGCAACTCTTTGGGTGCTTCCCTCTTTTTATCTAGTAGTTCTGATACGAACGTCCCATTCATAAAGCACCAGTGGCAACATCGATGTTGCTGTCCTTGATGATGATGATGATTCATAAAGCGGGAGCTGGTACATTGCTGGTACATTCACTTGCTTCTTACAGATACAGTGTGATTGCGGTCACTTGTGGCCGTTATCGATGCTAACCGAATTAAATGACGTTGGTCATTACGTTTGTCATCATCTGGTCCTTTTTTTCCACTGTCTTTATCACAGTACTCGGTCCTTCGTGCCGTGGTTTGTACGATTTCGAGGCAGAGAACGCGTCGGAACTGCCATTCTCTGAAGGAGATGTGATACGCCTGATTCAACAAGTTGATGAGAACTGGTTCGAGGGCGAACTGAACGGTCGTCGTGGTTATTTCCCAATCAACTACGTTGAGGTTATCACTCCACTGCCGTAAAGCTATTTCCCCACAAGACGGACCGTTTAGACGCATGCCTTCATGCTTGGCAGGATTGTCAAGTCTATGCAAATGCAGTGACGCAGTTCTTGTACAATCAGTCTACTTTGATTTCCTTTGGCATTATTCGCTTATTATTTATGTCTTTACTTATGATTCTAGAATCCCTATTCCTACACTCCAACAGGCTTTGATCTATTATTCCAGCTTCCCTTCCTTGCATCAACTGGTTTACTCGTATTTCTGCATTTCCCCTTCCTTGTCAACCTTGCAGGCATTTGTCCTGTTCAACGTAGGAAGCATATGCACTCACGTTTGGCTTTTTCTTTCATGCGCCCAACGTGACAGTCAGGTTTCTCGTCGACGAATTCTTCGCTGTCGCTTTCAAACTATCCCTTTCATTTACTGGCTGGTGAACTTGCCGATTGAAGAGACCAATCAAGTCAGCCTGATCCTCAGATCTGGCAATTTTTCCGCACTACTAGTGCGTGTATCCTCTCGATCCAACACCCCGAAACTCCACAGGTATTTTCCTTGTATGACTGATGGGCTGCATGTCCCCCTCCTCCTTGTTCAGCATCTCAGTGCCATTCCATTTTTCTTCTTTCCTTGTGGCTTTGGCGGTCTCTGTATCAGTTTCTTCTGATTTCGACCTATTTTTCCGCACGGATTATGTGATATCCTACGTTCGGCACGCTGGAGTTTTGTTTTTTAATCCCTCATCAACTCAGGTGATGGGGATCTCCTCGAGTACATAGTAAATCTGAAAGTTACATTAGCATATGCTTCCGTTTCTGGTTAGAACCAATGCACGGCGCTTGATTTAAAACGTCTGGTAATGTCATTTTTGCTTTTCGGAGAGACCACTTTTTCCCGCCCCTCATGGGAGCTCCCTAGAGAGGACAGAATAATCAATATTGAACCTTTGTGAGTATCAGCCATATGCATACAGTTCACATAATTTGTTCCGCGATGTGCTTCGCTTACTGCATCAGATAATGTGACGTAATAATGATACTCTATCTAAAGGTTCAACTTATTGTTCTACAGTCTGTGGATTTTACGCTCGGGCTTATCCAACGTAAGACATCTACTGGTCCTAACAGTCAATGCCCTCATTCCAGTGTTGCGGAAACCATGCTCAGACGAACATGTAGAGTCAACCTTTCTATGCGAGCTAACGCCAGGATAGCAGGCATTCTAATAACGGAGAGCGTATTGAGCTAGGGAGGTAATGAGATCATTACCACACAAACCCATTAAATTTTCACCAAATTAGACGAATCCGAAGTGTCAAGCTGATGGATTCGACGTTGTGATGTGAAATCGATAATTACTGACAGCGCCATTTTTCCAACTATAGGGCTCCACTGTAGACAACTTCGGGTAATGCGACTTCATAATACTTGACTACGGCTTTCCCAGACAGTAGACGGAAACTTGGTAGTCTCTGAACTGAGAAGTTGAAGTACACGTAGTGTGAGCGAAAAGACATCTATGGGCTGTCTCAATCCACTGACCTCTTGATTACTAGACGGCTAGTCTACTAGCATACCTCTCGGTAGTGCTTGCTGTCGGTTACAGCTATGCGTCTGACCTTCACCCGTCGTTCGTCGCATCTCTACCTCGTGTTAGTTAGTTTGTCTATCAGCGCCATTTTCTCTGGTAATCCGTAAACCTACAGTGCTCCATAATCGGAACCGCCTTAGCTACTCTGTTATACTTTTCCAATCTGGGGAAAGTAGTTCCTTCACTTCTACAGTGTTATGTGAGATCTCAGTGCCCTTTTAATAAAATAAATAGAGCCTCCGTCAATAAGTCGAGTGGGTTAAGGTATCTCTAGAATCGGCTAAGAGATGATACCTTTCGGTCAGGTCACTCAGCTATCAATAAGGACAAGCTTACGCGCTCGCGAGACGCGAAAACTCTCAACTTTAGTAAAGGCTCAGAGAAAGCTGTTTCTTCGTGTACTGTGGTGCATTTGACATCCTTTCCATTCCAGCATTTTCGATAGGAGTTCTGCGGCATACTACGTTCTGACGACGCGGCTATCCCCTGTGGAACGCACAATAGTTCATCCGTTAGGGAGTACCACTGCTGATTTTGGTCTTGAAGTTTCAGCCGTTTTGTTGTGAAGAGACAACCACAAGCAGTCCAATAAAGTGGTAAGCTTTAGGAGGAGGTTATTCATTTGAAATATGCTTCAACTAGTGGTATATCTTCCTGACGGTACCCTAGATGTGGTCTATTTACAGTGTAAAATTTTTCTGGGTGAGCGGATCCATCAATGACAGAAGTTCCATAGGTTTTCTCCGGGAAATAATGCGCGTTTTTGGATGTTGGTTATTTGAGTACGTTTGTAAGAACTGTATGATCAGAGGATTGCGTTGATTATGGGGGCTAGTTTCAGTCATACGCATCCATCATTTAGCAGTTCGGCGCCGATTTTAGTTCAGTTAAAAGAAGAATACGATCACAGCTTATTGGATCCAGCATAATTCGAATTTTCAGGCCGATGCTGCCTACAAACCTCTTCTCGCTACCAAACCCCTTCTGAGATAGCATCAATAATAACAGTGTCAGATGGCTGGATGGCAGTTCAGAAAGTTCCTTTTTTGGTGGTAACATTCAAATTCTGGAAGAGTGCCGCTGAGGCATCAGGTGCTGTTCCCGAACCACTTGTTGGTAATAAGTTCACGCGACAAGTGGTTTGCTTTGGTCATCTGCTTTAAACTTTGCTATACTTGTAACTAATCAAACCCTTGGGTGGTTGGTGCTCTTCTTAAAATTGGCTAGAATTCAATTATGTTATTTCTTGTGATTCTAGAGACTGGGGGATTGGGTGTGTTTCACACGGTTCGAACAGTTCCGTTCCATGAATTTGTCTTCCGGCACTGACCGACTTGAGCTGGGGGAGACAACTGTTCTAATCATGCAATGCCCACCAGACATTCGGTTCCAATTGTAACAGTTCACCCTTTGGAGGTCGTTGGTGAATAAAAAAGGCCATTGGTATCACCAGTGTCCTTATGATGAAGAGGGCCAGATGGATGGGCTCATGCGCCTTGTTACCAGAACGTAAACACGGACATGATATTTTTGGCCCATGTGCGCACGGTTGCGCAAGTTACGATGTGTGGGCTACCGCAGTCGAATCTAGCCAAGAATATTTCGGTAATGCCGTGTTTGTATGATAACTTCTCGTTGCGCAAACATGTAAACAAAAGTCTAAGGAAATCTGCACTATTTTTGGATGCGTTATATCACGTGTGGTTTTTGGACTCAATGCGATTCTTAAGTGCCATCAAGATGGATTCTTGAAAATGCTGGCCTACTGTATTAGTGGTCCCATGTTTTACTGCGTTAAGTTTTCTAGGTCAAAACCCTAGTTTTAACTTTGGGATCTGAAGATGGGCAGTTACAAAACCACTCCATCAGACTTCCCTATAGTACTGATCTCAAACATTACGGTATGTGGTAGCATCCACTTGCACGCGTTACTCCAAGGATATCATGTCCAAATAAGACCATTTTGTCCCTTCGCCCTGTCCTGCTCCAGTTTCTAGGCACCGTTGTGTCTATTTTGATAAAAAGAAGTATGCGGTCGTCCCTGACGTTCTAAATTCTAATCCAGCTTTCCATGGTCATGGAGACTTAATAATTACTGAAAAATTGTGAAGACTTCTCCGTAGTTTTGGGACCGGCCTTCTGCTTCTGCTTTCGATTTGCTTGCCATTCTCATGCAAGCTGACGGATCGTTCTCAGAGTCCTCATCATTTAGGGCGTAGGATTATATGTAAGCTGAGTTTGAGATAGCTAAGTGGTTTTGGCGCCAGCCTAATGACCGGAAGGTCCATTGTTAGAACCCAATCCCTACATCTAGGCTGTTCCTGTCTAAGGTTGGACAACCTTGCAGTACCTCATCCCTCGAGTATCTTTTAGGTGACATGGTATCTAGGCTCCGGAACTGTTCTGTAGCTAATGATTGATTGTTGATGGTGAATTATAGTCTCTGCTTTTTGAACGTAATCTCAAATACAAGGATTAACTTTCCACCCGTAGTTGTTTATGCTAGTCGATTGCACAGTCCGTGTTACAGGCCTGGAAGTGGAATTAATGATTTGTGTAGCAGAATTGTCTAACGACTTCCTGTAGAACGAGCCACTGTGATTCGAGGGTGTACCATAGAGATATTCACAAACAGGTAATGTTTTCAACGTTTATGTGGCGAACCACACCTGAACTGCTTCAAATCTCGTTCCATCAGTTTCCCAGCTATTTGAGGCTTTCTCAACGGATAGTTGGCGCTAAGATAATCCCCTCAGTCTCTATAAATTGGGTTTGATTTTGGCTATTTTTAACTTTCCATCCCGCCAACCGCTTTTAAGGACCGTATAAAATTTGATTCTCTTGAAGGCATGCCATAAAAATCAAAGCTATGCATGATTTATGGCCACCGAATTCAGCAGAGAAACGTTTATCTAAGGCCTCTTTTCAAGTTGAGCAGCCATCTGCTACTACTATCAAGGCTTTGGCTTGCGACAGTAATACTATTCGTGGGCGCCTTCCCACGTTCCTTCAGATTCCAACCGTGCACTTCCTGACCTTATTATGTTACCTTCGAGGAAAAGAACTCATATTTCGTTTCAGCGTAATTATCTTTTTAGTACCTGCAAACATGGGTTACGAAAGGCGGGGAATTAATTATCGAAACTCTCGTGCACAGAGCGCAATAAAAACCGGATAATATGGAAACACGATACGTCAAAGCGTGCTTGTGGAGATGCATGTTAATCTGTCCTGAAAAGTTAGGAATGTAAAATGGGGGAGGACACGAAAGGGGTANGGGAAAGTTAAAGTTAGATAGTTCCGGGAAGGGACAAGAGGGTGGAGAGATCCGTTCGATGATTTGCAAGAGTGACTTGAAAAACAAAGACGAGTGAGATGATTAAAAGTTTAATCATGCGCGTTGCGCACACAATCTCACAACTGATTATCGCGGTTAAGGAAATTAAATATATGTAGAGATATAGGGAGGCTGTATGTCCTAGTTTATCGGTTGAAAATTTGATGGCAACGAGTCGGGTAACCTTGTTCTGAACTTGATCGTGAATCCAAGCAAAGATGTTCTGAGGCAGAGTAAATTAGGGCTTCGTACAAAATAAGGATCGGAGTTAGGTTAAAGCAACCTCAAAGTCTGATGTGAAAGTCAACTGTCATGATAGCATTTCTTGCGAGAGATTTCACATGGGCATACGAGAAAATATTGCAAGAAAGTACCGATCCAAGCATGATGGTCAGTGGACCAACGAGAGGGACTGTTACGGAGAGAGAGACAGAAATACAGAGAGATCTAGCAATGAATGAACCACTCTCTGCAGTCTTAATAAGGTCACTGTTTGAGACACGGTTGCTCTCAATCCGGTCGCCCCAAGGCCATATGGAAGCAAGGCTATAGTTTAAATAATGGGTGAAACACTGAAGAGTGGTATCTTCAGCAACCACTGAAAACGACAGATGAGGAAAGGTCTTTGATATGCGGTAGGATTTCTGCTAGGTTGTTGCGAGTGAACTCCATTCAGTTTGGCTACAGGCTGTGAAAAGGCCAGAATACCCAGGCAGATAAGAAGCATCCGGTTTCATCAAAGGATACAGAAGATTAACGCTCTTGTGCTACGAGCGCAACTCGACCACCAGCGCCGTATTTAATGGTCTCTAATGGGAAATTCGGTGACCGCGCCTACATGATAGGCACCAAGTGGGACGAAACCGGTTGTGGAGTTTTCAGCAAAGTTAGGAATGGTTTAATTTAAGAAGAAACGGAAGGTGTTTGACAGATAACAATGAAATTGCTCGGTGGCGTCACACTAGTAAAAGCGAGAAGATATTAAATAACAGGTCTTGTAGATTAGTTGCGCATGATTATTTGTGGAGCGCAAAACCAGCCAAGGTACAAGTTGTTCTTGCTGGAATAAATATTCGAGCTGAATGTAGCTAGTTAGTAAGGAAAAATAGTA